GTGCCCAAGGGAAAGTAAACGACCACTAGGGCGACTTCTAGAAGAGTGGCACATATGTACAGGACAGGCAGTGCGTAGTAACTATAAGCATGCAGTTCTGAATCGAATTGGTTGGCATAGCTGAGCTGGATTTGTGGAAGCACCCTAGTGAAATCACTGGTACCCACACTGGTAGCCCGAGCAGTCTTAATATTTAAGTTTAGCGTGCATTTTTTTTTTTTTTCGTGCATATCATCACTACTTTTTCTTTATGGTACATATTTCTCTTCATGTGTTTCTTCTTTCCAGTAAATTCTTGAGGCATTTACTAATTTTGTTTTTAGGAACCGCCTACGTTTGATAAATTTGTTACAAGTGTGGGAGGATGGCGGTTTGATCCAATCGAGGAATCATACACGTTGCCAGAAGAGAGGCCGGACAGTGCATGGCAGTTAAAGAAGCAGAATATATCGAGGCAAAAACTGAGCAGATGGTAAAAAAAGTTTTTTTTTCAACTTTGATTTGTTTTTGTATCAGCCAAAGCAGTTTTGTGATTATGTCGGGTATGAGTGTTTCAGGTATGAATTGTTTGCTGAGTCACTTGAGGGACGTGGGACCAGCCTGCTCGTTGATTTTTCCCGTGCACCAAAAGGATTTGCGTCCAGAACTGATGAGCAGGCGGATAAGAAGAAAGATAAACCACAGTGGCAACAAAAAGGGAAAGGAGGTAGGATAATTTCCTGCGAAAATTACAAATGTGGACACTTTGCGAATCGTTCTCTTGCGAACTCCATATGAGCTCTTTTTGACCCTTATTGCTCCTCATGTTTCTTCTTTCCTCCAGCAGTAAATTTTTATGGGATGTGCTGATGTGCTATAGATTGGGGCAGTTGCAAACAGCAAATCCAGCTGTAATTTGATAATTTGTTCCCCGTAAATTGAGGTTGTCGAACTCGCCATCAGCTTGCTTTTGTGCACTCTTCAGAAAATGTTCTTACTATCGGGCAGTTGCTGTTAGTTTGGCTGTCACTTCCAAATACCTTCGC